AAGAAACAACTTTATGGCTCACATGTCCTAATCTACCATGACAAAGAAAATAAGAAGACTCAATCGAATAAATAAAAACATCATTCATCTTATTGATACTCAACTTGAACATGCCATTACAATAGTACCCATTTCTTACAAACACCCCATTCTTTGAAAAGATTACATTGTTAAATTCAATGACTGTCTTCAATCCCATTTTATTAAGGATGTCGGCTGATACAAGGTTCTTAACAAGACTAGGAATATGAAGTATATTAGTTAGGACTAGTTTCTTTCCCGAGGTGAATTGCAAATGCACTTCTCCTTTGCCTCGAACTTGAGCCCTAACACCATTTGCCATTACAACTTCATGTCCTTCAAGAACAACATAGTTCTTAAACTGATCCTTGTCATTGCCCACGTGAATTCTAGCTCCAGAATCATACCACCAATCCTTGGAAGGAAGTGGTGTTGCCATGTTCAACTCGGTCACGGTTCCAAGCGAGATAACCGCCACAACTGGTGCACTATCTTCAACAAGATTTGCACTTGGGAGGTTATTTCCCTTATGCTTCTTGTTAGACTTGCAATCGGCCTTAAATTGACCCTTTACACCATAGTTGAAACATTTTTTATCCTTTTTCTTGTCATTAGAATTTCTAGGTTTCTTCCTCTTATTTTTGTTAGCCCCATTTTCAGACACAAAATTCACTTAATTAGAGTTTTCTCCAATTTCCAAGTTTTGAAGAAGTCTTGCCCCTTCTTCAATTCTCAAGTATTTCAAAACATTAGACACAGTCAAATTCTCAGAAGTGTGCAATAGTTTCTTTTGATAATCGTTCAAAGTATGAGGCAATTTGGCAATAATTGCCCCAACTTGCAAAGATTATGAGATTTCAACACCAATGTCTTTAGTTTTGATACTATATCTTGGAGATTGTGAATTTGATCCATAAGAGGAGAATTAGCAAGTAACTTAAATTCAAAGTAGTTTTTAATGAGAAACTTATTTGTCCCTTGTTTCTGATTTGCATACTCTCTTTCAATGGCAGCCCAAATCTCTTTTGGATTTTTCACATTTGAGAAGAGATCATAAATTGAATCTGATACGTTGTTGAGAATGTGACCATGGCAAATGATCTCATCTTTCTACTGTTGTGCATGCTTCTTCTTGATTGCATCAGACTCTCCTTCCGCTGGCGGTGGGATCCCCTCTAAATTTGGGCTTAGAACATAAGCCACTTTCAAGGCCGTGAGAAAGAACATTAACTTGTCCTTCCAATGGTTAAAGTTAGTGCCAGATTCATCAAGACGATCCAACTTGACAAAGCCTTAGTTCATCACTTTCATGGCAGACTCTTGTGTTGATTCCATGATAAATATTGTCTTAAGATTGAACGAAACTGGAGGTGTTAACAAATGAAGCAACACAATATGAACCAAATAACAAAGATGGAGAAAAGAAATTTTATTGATAGAATCTGAAATTCAACAACTAAAGGAAATTCACAAAGAATTGAAAGTGTTCTAAGCGTGTCAAATACTGCCCTTAAGGCAATATTTGCCCCCACTAGATTGCAAACAGGGTTGAATGGCAATTTGTCTCTAGGACTTAAGAACACAAGAACATGCAATTTGCAACTTATAGAATGTTCTTCAGGATTTTGGAATGCAAAAGTTAAATGAATTCATGTACTACTTCACCTATTTATAGGTAATATTTGCAGAAATAAAAGGATACAAAATAAGTACACAACCCTTGACTTGTAGGAAATAACCACCAAGCATGTGAAGAGTTGCCAACTTAATTTTCTCCTTCAATTCTAAATTAATTATTTTATTTTATAAACTAAAATTTCTAACAATGAACACGCAATGATTTAGGCAGCAGGATTCAGACAAGTTATCGATTGGTCCTTGTTTTACTTTGTTTTTTTGTTTTTTGTTTTTATTATTGTTAAAAAACCAAGACATGGTAAACGGTGGATATAATTATAATATTACGATCTATCAAATTATGAACAAAAATACGTTGCATAACACACTTACTAGACTAAAAGGGTATGTTTTCAAGTTTGGAAGATTTATTGTAGGGTATATCATGTATGATTTGATGAGTTCCTCACCTAGATACTTGCTCGCACTAATCCCTCATAAAAGTTTGATTTTTTTGGGAAAATATCGGGATAATAACAAAAAAAATTAAGTATGAGAACTGAGGAAATAAATTGGTCCAAAACAATGTTTTTGCATGGATCACAATGCCTCATGCCCAGCAAAAAGTGTCAGTTACAAGGCAAAAAAATTCTAACAGAAGCTGCTTAAGAAATCTCAATTTGAGACAATAAGTACAACGAATAAAATAACCGTTTTTAACTAATCCTTTCTTTTTTTTTTTTTTTAGTCAGGGTGGAATTCTGATTTGAAAGTCATCACCAAGTCTCTATCCAGTATATCCGGGGGCACCATACCCCCCCTCCTATTTTTTACACTACTAATCCTTACTATACTTTTTTCCACTTTTCTAAATAACATCCTATAATTTATAGGTTTAGTGCCTTTGATTTTTTTTTTCTCTCCTTTAAAAAACATGTCTAATCTTTAAACGACCATAACTCTCAATCCATAAAGAATTAGAAACATGTTACACATGAATTTTATTGTACTCGTCGAGATGTATCCAACAAGATCCATGTCGAATATTTTTTTCGAGTTTAAAAATGACTAAATTTTGATGGGCAGAATAAGATGGATATCTAGTTTAGAAATATGGATAACCAGTTTAGTTTAGATTAAGATTCTTGTATTGTATATATCTCTTGATCCGTAAAGAATTAGAATACGAATTATACATGAAATTTATAGTGCTCGACGAAATCTATCCGATAAGATCCATGAATATTTTTTTTTGAACTTTAAATGCATTTAAATTTTACGGTCAGAAATGAAGAAATGTGTTTTTCGTTTTTCTTTGAAAAATGGTTATCCGTTGTGTTCTTACTGATTATCCAGCCGGTTTGGACTGATTATCCATTCTGTTTGTACTTGTTATCCAATCATATTTTTGACATTCACTCTTCAAAAAAAAAAATAATAATAATTGGATTAGCATTAGAAACAATTTGGATAATCAATAGAAAATAATTAGATAATTAGTGCAACACGTTGGATAATCAATACAAAAAAGTTTGACAATCATTTTCATAAAAGAGGAAGGAAAAAAAATACTGAATAACCACCACAAAGAAGTTGGATAATCAATTTGAACACATTGGATATCCAGTTTAAGAAGATGGATAACCAACTTATTTTACATTCATATTGTTGTGTTCCTTATATCTTTTGATCCGTAAAGAATTATAATACAAATTATATATGAAATTTATAGTGCTCGACGAGATCTATCCGATAAGATTAATGTTGAATATTTCTTTTGAACTTTAAATGCATTTAAATCTTACGGGCAGAAATGAATAAACTGAAAAGTGATTATCCGTTGTGTTCATACTCATTATCTAACCGGTTTGGACTAATTACCTATTTTGTTTTATCCAATCATATTTTTTACATTTACTTTTCAAAAAAGAAAAAAAGAAAAAAGAAGATGGATAACCACCTTAGTTTAGATTGATATTCTTGTATTACATATATTTCTTGATCCGTAAAGAACTAGAACACGAATTATATATGAATTTTATAGTGCATACAAACCCATTGGATTACAACTACAAAACAAGTTGGATAAGCATATAAACCAAATGGATGGATATCCAGTACAAGCGAGTTGGATATCCAGTACAAACGAAATGGATATCCAGTACAAACAAGTGGGATATCCATTACAAACAAGTCTGATAGGCATACAAACCAAATGGGTGGATATCCAGTACAAACAAGTTGAATAACCAGTTGAAACTGGTTGGATAATCAGCATGAACACAATTTAAATTGGTTATCCAGCTTGTAAAACTGGATATCCACCTTATTCTGCCCATCAGAATTTAATCATTTTTAAGCCTGGAAAAAATATTCACTATGGATCTTGTTGGATAGATCTCGACGAGAACAATAAATTTCATGTGTAACACGTTTTCTAATTTTTCACGGATTGAGAGATATGCTTGTTTAAAGATTAGATATGTTTTTTTGGAGGAGAGAGAAAAAATTAGCATGGACTAAACTTACAAATAATAGAAAAATTATTAGAAAAAGTAAAAAAAAGTAAAATAAGGACTAGTAATGCAAAAAGTAGAAGGGGGAATATGGTGTTCCTGGGTGCACCCAATAAATTGCCGTCATCACCAACTACTTTCCTGAATTTGTCACTATTGATATTTCTTCCAATTTAATAATACTACAACTAAGTATTCTGTCATTAGGCTGCACGATACAAATTATACGCACTCATCTTTATCTTCAAAAGAATAATTATATTTCTCCTACAGATTTTATTTTGGTACAATTTCTCCTGAAGATTTAATTTAACAACATCAACTTTTTTAGGACTAAAAATCAATCCATTTGTTAGTATGAATCCACCAGGCAAATTAATAAAAAACGAGGGAAAAATGTTTCTTTGACCGAGTCGGATGTAGTTAGCATTTTGGAATTGTGCTTCTTAACTTTGTATTCATCAACTAATTCAGTTCTTTCGCTAGAAAACAAATATGCATTCAGTTCTTGCTTTCTTTTTTTTCTTTTTTTTTCCTGCCCATTCTTTAGCATCCTTAGCCGCGTCGAGTTATGGAGGTCTATTGCAGTTTCAAGAACCACCGGCGACAATCAAAACTTGGTTACTACATGATTTAATTGGTATATCATATCAAAGTAATACCCGTATCCTAGGCATTTTGTCTCCTTCTTTGTACCAAAAAAAACAAAAAAAACAAACATTATACCAAACTAAATTTTCCCAGGAATTTTATTTAGTTACAACTTACCATCATATATTCTCTTAAATTAAACCCACCAAAATTCTCAGAAGCTGCTTGGGGTTTTCTAGGAATCCCATCATTGGAAAAAATTAAGCAAACGCGCGTAAAATGGTGACAAGACTACATTTCTCTTTAGTCTACAGCGTGGCCCATTGACTCTTTCTCTTCCCAATTGCCAATAGAAAACCAAAAGACAACCCAAAGTCCTTCAAGTCAACGTCGAATGAACAAACACCACACGATTTTTTGGTTTATTATAAGTAGTTCCGATGAAAAGGATGGAGCGCCTGGGAGAGAATTAAGGGAGAGGAGATCAGAAAATTAGATGGAAGAACTTAAAGAAGCCGCCATTAAAAACGATGTTGAAGCTCTTGCTCGGTTACTTCAGAAAGATAAACTTATTCTTGATCGACTCACGCTGAATTCTCATGATATGAACCCTCTTCATATCGCAGCAATGTTTGGCCATGTGGAATTTGTCCAAAGAGTTCTGCTTGCCAGTCCTGATTTGTGTTTAGCTGGTGATCGATTCAGAAGAATCCCTTTACATCTGGCAATCATCAAGGGGAAACTGGATGTTGTGAGAGAATTAGTTCATGCCAGGCCAATTTCAGCTCGGGAAAAGATCGATGGAGGAGGAAATGCTCTGCATTTGTGCGTCAAGTACAATCAGTTAGCTGCTTTGAAGTTGTTGATCGAAACTATAAAAGATGATGATTTTGTTAACCGGAAGGATGATGATGGGATGACCATATTACATCTCGCAATTTGCGATAAGCAAACAGAGGTAGTAAGATCAGCCCATAATTAAACTTGGTCAAGATTTGATTTTCCACCTTTTCAACTTTGATTTGATCTAATTGATTACTTGAATTGATTGACGAATATGCAGACAATTAAATACTTGCTTGGAAACAACCAAGTCGTCGTACATGTGAATGTTAAGAATTCAAATGGAAGCACCCCATTAGACCTTTTCCAAGGAGACTGCGACCCGGAAATTGGACGGATTCTTCATCAAGCTGGAGCCAGAAGAGGAAGAGAATTACTTGATTCATCAGTGTCAGCATCGAAATCTTCCGGCGAAAAGCCGGCAAAAAAGGGCAACGGCGACAACGATTGGCTATCCAGGAAAAGGGATGCGATAATGGTGGTTGCCTCACTTATAGCAACAATGGCATTCCAAGCCGGCGTTAGTCCAACCGGCGGGGTTTGGCAAGATGATTCAAATCCTGACGGACCAGCCGGAACAGCGGTGATGGCACTGAAGCATCCGAAATATTACAAAAATTTTGTCAGGACTAATACAGTAGCCTTTGTTTCCTCCCTGAGCACGATTCTGTTCCTAATAAGTGGTTTGCCATTTAGGTACAAGTTCTTCATGTGGGCTCTAATGGTGGTTATGTGGTTGACCATTACAGCCATAGCTTCAACTTATGGCATATCAATTCTTATGGTTACTCCGGTACATCAGAAGAAGGATTTGAGTCAAGTTATTAAAACTTCTGTCACGGTTTGGTGTGGCGTGATGTCGCTTTTGCTGCTCGGAAACACAATTCGACTGATAAACCGGTGGATTAGGAAACGATATGGCGTTGATATGTTTAGAAAGCTCAGGAGGCAGGGGAGTTGTTCTGCAGCTCCGGCGCAGAGCAATGGTCACCAAGGAAGTAGTCTTCCGTATGTAAGTGTTGAATTAAACAAGGTGTAACTGTATACTCTATTCCACTGATTAGGAAATTTTTGAATCCTTTTGAATTTGCAAATAATTTATTCCCTCTGTCCCATAATTATTGTCTAGTTTGGGTTTTTATTTCTAGGTCAAATTATACTAAAAATAAAATCTCAAACTGGACAATAATTTTGGGACAGAGTAGATTTTATAGCTTTACTGGATTTACATCTTAGATTCTCTCAAAAAAAAAAAAAAAAGAAGAGAAAAACAATATTGAGAAAGTTTAAACTATAGAAATTTACTAGTCTGCAGTCAATCCAACAGAAAAGCACTAGCATTACGATTTTTTTTTTTTTTTTTTGGTATTATTGAGCAGCCAAAAGCCTAAAATTACATCAAGACACAACTACCACGTCGTGTTCCAGTAACTCAGGTTGATTTGTTTAAAATGCATAAGCAATTTCTAGCTTGAGGTTTAAGGTCGTTTTGCTCAGAAGCTGCAATATATTTTTTTTTCATGGTGTCTTAGTAACTTTTATTGATATATTTTTCATCCCTTTACATTCCTATTAAAAAATAAAAAAAAGCACCTTCTAAACAGAGCCCTAAGCTTCCTTGCAGCTCAATGAAGTTGGATCAGCTTCATTATTGGAAGAGACCTCGTCTTATGAAGAATAAATCAGCAACGCTTTTACAATTTTTTTTTTTTTTATTTGAAAGCAAATGTTGCTCTCTCCATTATAAAATGATTGTTTTGTTTATTATGATCATTTTGAGACACTGTTCTAACGTTTCACAAAATCACAACTGTTTGACCTGTGCTTTCTTGAATCACATTGGGGATCTGAATCTCAATGTTTACTAGGCTTAAACAATGAATTCTGCTGGTTGAGAAATAAGTAAAAATGTAACATCGATGCTTAAGTAATTCCTCAAAAAGAAGCCTCCCCAACTTATGAATCAATTAAGGTAGTGAATTTGAACACCAAGTACAATGTAACAACAAAATAAAACATAAAAGAAGGGGAAAAAACTTTCTGCTTCAGCCGACACTAGAAGCTGCCGCAACAAAGTATACGGTCTTGTTTGGCCAACATCTCATTTTGTATTTTGTCTCATTTTACCTTTTAAATACAAAAACCAATACATTATCCAAACAATATTTTAACTTACCTTTTAAAAAATATTCCAAATATTATTTTTACTCAATTTTCGTCCACCACCTCCACCACTATCCGCCACCATCGGACCATCATCCTCTGCCACTGGCCGGCGACCGGCCGGCCAGATTACGGCCAAATTCCTGTCTGGCGGTAAAGGTAGGTGGTGGAGGTGGGCAGTGGTGGTAAAAACTTATATAATTTTAATTAAAAAATTATTTAAACAATTTTTTAAATTTTCTCTCAAAACATATTTTAAATCACATTTCAAACTCAAATCTAAAAGTAAGCTAAAATGCAAAATGAGATGCTGGCCAAACAAGAATTTTTGTAGAAACAATCTACTTTGAAGAAAGTCTGGAATACTTTCATAAACTTTGAAGAAAGACTTCTACAAGTCAATGGAAGAAAGCTACTCGGGAATTGGAAACAATCTACTTTGATTTGATATAATAAATCAATTAAACACTTTTAGTGTCTCAATGATAGACCGAGGCTCCCTCAATACTTTATTATTAGTTTATTTCCCACTAGAATTTTTTACAAAATAATTGTCGTACCTTGTTCTCAATTGGACCAAATGTAGGCAAATTCAAGATCCGCGAAACTGTTACCCTGTGGTAGAAGAATTTGCAGAATCGGAATTTCTAAAACCTTTAACTGATTTACACACATGTTTTCAAAAAAAAAAAAAGAAAAGAAAGTGGAAATGGCCTGCGTTTCCTCTAAATTTAAAAGATTACGCTTCGGTTAACCGAAAATAACCGAAGTTAATTAGCATTATTAAGAAAGCATCGATTCAGAATGTTCTTTATCTCGTGCAAACCTCATCCGTGGTCAACATATGTCATCCAAAGTCTCTGAAAATGGCCCTTCACCAGAATAAACTTTCAGCTAGATAGTTGCCCGAGTTAAGTTGACGTAAATTTATTTTATTTTATTTTTATCTTAGTCTCCAACGACCCTCACTCTTTCTATTCCCAATTGCCAATAAAATACCATAATTATATATATTTCCGAAGCTCTTAAGTAAATCCTTAATGACACCTGGGATTCTACATTGAGCCAAAAAAAAAAAAAAAAAAGTCACCATCATTTTGCACTTAAAAAACCAGGTTAAAATTCAATTGCTTTAATTTGACAAGAAGGAATTAGGATGGGCAATATCAACACAGGGAAAGGCATCCAGAAAACCAAAATGGAGGAACTTGTTTATGAAGCTGCTGTTGAGAACGAATTATGACTTTTCGAAGTCAAAGCAGAAGCGAGAATTGTTCCCCTTTCTTTTGTAATATAGAGGAGCCAAAAGGCTAAAAATAACGTCAAGACCCCTTGTTGAATACAACACGAACTCGTGTTCCAGTCACTCACTTTGATTTGTCAAATGCAGAAGCGATTTCTAGCTTTGAGGTTTGAGGTTGTTTCGATCGTTAAGCTGCATCAGCTCAGCTGTATTTGGAGTCCTCCGTAATCTCTTCGTAACTTTTGTTGATGTATTTTTTCATCCCACCACATTTACATTCCTATAGAAAAACGTACACTTCAAAAACCTTCCTGACATAGAGGCTTCCTTGTAACTCAATGAAGTTGGATCAGCTCAATTGGAAGAGACCTCAACTTATGAAGAACAAATAAGCAACACGTTTAACCTTCTTTTTTTTTTTCTTTATTTTTTCTATTTGAGAGTAAAATATTACTTTCTCTGTTTTAAAATGATTGTTTTACGTATTGATTATGATAATTTTGAGACATTGTTAATGTTCACAAATCACAACTGTTTGACTCGTGCTTTCTTGAATCACACAGCTGCCACTAGGCATCTCAATGTTTGATGAGCTTGAACAAATGAATTCTGCTAGTTGGGAAATAAGTGAACATAGCATGAACATCGACGTAGAATAATTCCTCCAAAAGAAGCCTACGCCTACCCAACTTCTGAATCAATCAAGGTAGTGAACTAGTCATTTTGAACGCAAAGTACAATGTAACAAACAAAACAAAACAGAAAACAGAAAAGAAGAGGAAAAAAAAAAAGAAAAGAAAGAAAGAAAAAACAATTCTGTTCGAGCCTACGCTAGAAATTGCCTTTAAAAAACAAATATTTAATTAATTTTATATAAGTGTGAAAGTCTGGAATACTTTCTCAAACTTAAAAAAAGACTTCTACAAGTCAATGCAAAAAAAGCTACTCGGGAATTGGAAACAATCTACTTTAATTATTTTTTTTTGGGTGGTCAATCTCAATGATAGGCTGAGGCTCAGTCAATACTTTGATAGTTTAATTCCAACTAGAATATTTTTTAAAAATAATTATTGTCTCTTTTTAGCTTTTTCTCGATTGGACTAATCTATGCAAATTCAAGATCTTCGAGTCCACGAAGCTGTTACCATATGGTAGAAATTGTAGAATCATCTTAACCTTTTAACTGATTTACATTTGATCTCAAGCAAAAATAATAATAATAATAGTAATAATAATAATAATAATAAATAAATAAATAAATAATTGTAGAAATGGCCTCAGTTTAAGCTAAATTTAGGAGATTACAAGTTTAATTGTTTTATTCATTATCACATCACATCACGTCAAATCAAATCCTTAGCAGATTCGTGAAGCAATAGAAAATATTAATATTTATATTCATGCTAGAGAAATGCTAATGGCCTTAAATTTTTCAGGAATAGGCCAGTGAAAACATTAATTCACTGCTCTCTTTTGGATAGATCGGAATTCGATTCTAATCGTAGAGGTTCTATTATTATTATTTTTTTATACATATATTTATAAATCTGTTCTTTCTTTTAAACAGAAATATATGAGGTCTCAACTCTCGTATTCCTTTAATCACAAGTTCACAACTCATATAAAAATGCCAAAATATGATATTGATTGCTTCGGGCTTCAGCCTTCAGTTAACCAAAAATTAATGACCGAAGTTTTAACTAGATCTATTAGATCGAGAATGTTCTTAATTTATCTCACACAAATCTCATACCGTCGTACGTACGTGGGCAACCATATGTCATCCAGAAATCTCTGAAAATAGCCCTTCATCAGAATGAACTTTCAGCTAGCTAGCTAGCTGGCCTTAGCATTGACGTAATATTTTATTTGTTAGTCTCCAACGACCCTCACTCTTTTTAATTCCCAATTGCCAATAAAAATGTAATAATTATATTTTCAAAGCTTTTAAGTAAACCCTTAATGACGCCTAGGATTTTACATTGAGCCAAAAAAGTCACAACCATTAATTTGTGCACTTGGAAAACCACACCGAATTCAAGTGGTTTAGTTTGACAAGAAGGAAGGATGGGCAAAATCAACGCAGGGAAAGGCATCCAGAAAACAAAGTTGGAGGAACTTGTTTATGATGCTGCTGTTGAAAACAATGTTACGATGCTACGACAACTACTTGAAGAGGATTCACTTATCCTTGATAAAGCCACATTGCATAGTCAAGATAAGAGTCCTCTTCATATCGCGGCAATGCTTGGAAATGTGGAATTCGTAAATGAAGTTATAAGAGCCAGTCCTGATCTGTGTTTGGCCGGCGACCGACACGGAAGATTACCTCTACACTTAGCAGCCATCAAAGGCAGATTTTCGGTTTTGCAAGAGTTGGTTCATGCCTTGCCGCTATCCGCTCAAGAAAGGATTCATGGCGGTGGTAACGTTCTTCATTTGTGCATCAAGTATAACCAGTTCGAGGCCTTAAAGTTTTTGGTCCAAACAATTCAAGATGACGATTTTTCCAATCAGAAGGATGATGCTGGAATGACCATATTACATCTCGCCGTTAGCAATAAGCAAACTAAGGTACGTACATCATTGTCAGCTATGGATTCCTACTGAAGAAATATCAAATTAATATCTCAACTTGATCATTATTGATGACTTGATGAATAATTACTCTACGCAGACTATACGATACTTGGTTGAGAACAAGGTTGTGCAAGTCAATGTGAAGAATGAAAATGGGAAGACCCCATCAGACCTTTTAAAAGGAGAAAACAACAACTCGGAAGTCGCGAAAATTCTTCATTGCGCCGGAGCCAAAAGAGGGAAAGAAATCGGCTCCTGCGAGGCGACAGGAAGCGACTGGCTAAGGAGAAAAAGGGAGTCAATAATGGTGGTTGCCTCACTTATTGCGACAATGGCTTTCCAAGCTGGGTTGAATCCGGCCGGCGGCGTATGGCAAGATGACAATTTAGATGGCCCGAATCCACACGTAGCCGGAACAGCTGTGATGGCACAAAAGCAACCGAGATACCACGAGTATTTCCTACGGACTAATTCTGTGGCCTTTGTTTCATCCCTCAGCACAATATTGTTCCTCATTAGTGGTTTACCATTCAGGAACAAATTCTTTTGTTGGGCTCTGATGGTGACTATGTGGTTGACTATTACGGCCATAGCGTTGACTTATGGGATATCGATTGTGATAGTAACGCCACATGATAGTAAGAAGCAGTTGAGCCGGGTTATTAAGACATCTCTCATGGTTTGGTGCGGAGTGATGTTCTTCTTGCTTGTCGGAAACACTTTCCGGTTGATGAACCGGTGGCTCTGGCGACGACATGGTATTGATCTGTTTAAAAACCTAAGGAGATATGAGAGTTTGAAATCCAGAGCTCAAGTGCGGAGCAATTGTGGGGAGGATGACTGCTCTGTGTAAATATACTATTTATTTTGCCATTTTTTTTTCTAAACAAACTACTTTTATTCTTCTCTTCACAATGTAAACTTTCAAGAAGTGGATCTGCCCTGCTGGTGCTCAAATGCATCCATCCCGTGTTCAGGCGAAATTATGGCTTTAGTTTGTATTCCCTCTATCTCAAAATTATTGTCCAGTTTGATATTTCACTTTTTGTACAATTTGAACCAAAAAGGAAAACCAAAATTGGACCATAACTTTGGGACGGAAGGTGGTGGGTGTCAAACCAACTAAAATAAAAGAACCTACTCCTAACAGAATTGGTAGTATAACAGTGAGTAGGGCCGTCTCATCAGAGAACAAATAAGTGAAATTATATCTAATTAAAAGTGGAGTAACCAAGTGTAGTTTGTTTTGAGATTCGAATAAATAAACGACAACTAAATAAAACAACAAAATTAAGATAACAATAAAGAGAAAAGGATTCAAATCAAAGGAATTATTTCCGCTTCGATCAAATCAATTGATCCTTGATGCAAAGATAAATTCATATAATTCATAAATAAATTAGTTATAGTTGTTGACACAGCCTAACAACCAATTTCTCCTTACTTTATCGATCGGTAGTCAAGATCCAATTCCAATTAACAAACACCCAATTGAGATTATTTAAATTGGATTATTTATCTTCACAACACGCATCAGCTACTTATTCAGGCAGTCTGAGTTGTTGATTGCCATTTATTAAAACTAACAAACAATTCCGGATTTGCCGTTTTAAATATCTATAGATCAATTTGAAAGAATTAAGTGTGCATCCGTTCAATCATACAAAACCAATTATAAACTCTAAAATAAGGAAATCAACAAATACTCATGAATATATAAAAAAGATACAATCAATTGGATCTCATAATTGTCATGGATCAAGGTTTCAATAATCCTTCAACTAGAAAAAGAGTTTAGCTACTAATCTTAATAGGATTAATAGCAAAAGATAGTTAATTGACATTACAGAAGAAGAAAACCGAGAGAAATATGCCCTTTGAGCTCTAACTATCGCTTTAGTATTGTTCATCATCGTCTTCAAAATCAACAATTTTCCGCCCTTTTCATCCAAATCGCCTTATACGATCAAATTAAGCATAAAACACCAACATTAGTATAGATATTACTCAAAATAACACATAAATAACCATAAGTATCATGCTAATATTGACCTTGTCAACTTCCCCAAACCTAGATTTTGCTTGTCCTCAAGTAAACTTAAAAAGAATAACTTATAAATTAATTTATACACAACACCACTTAGAACTACATATTTGGAAAACATTTAAACCACAATCTCAACTACCACATCACCCATCAATCATAAACTTATTCAATTAGGCAATCAAACATAAACTCCTCTAATACTATGTATACTCAACAAGATAGTCGATTCGTCCCTAAACTCCATAGTCAAATAATTGAATTATATTAACTGAACAATATGATACAACATGGTAATATATATAGTATAAAAGAATCTTATTCTAGAAGGTTCTAGAGTACATGTCAATATAATCAGTGGTTGGAAGAAAATCACCTAACAAGTAGATCACTAATTTTTCTTTCTACTTTTCTCTCAAAAGGGTAACATATAAGATAATTCACACAAATCAATATCTAGTCGAATACTCAAGAATTTGAAAAGGCGTCACATTATTACACACCAAGCAAATAAACTCACCACTGAAGGTCTTTAAAAGGGTTGTAATGGGGCTTAAAGAAAGGGAAAAGGGTAGATATATATGGATGTAAGTTTATAATTTTTTCAAGGTAGACTATGTATACTTAAACTCCACCATCTTATCAGATATCCTATATAATGACATTGCTGATCCTCACACCTCAAACTTCAAGTGTGCTTTGGATAAGAATTGTCATTAACTTCTCATATTACATTTACAACCCATTGCATCTCAAAGATATAATGAATAACATGCCATACTCTCGAACAATTAGAAAATATGGATTTATGTGATTTTTTTTTTATTCTTTTTTTTTTCTCTTTTTTTCAGTTCCGTTATATTTCTCGATTTCTTTCATATTTTTTTCTCTTCATTTTTAATTCTTTTGGATTTTTTTTCTCTGCATGTCCTATATTACACCAAATGCATAACTTATAAACCAGAACACATGCCACCATAATTTCCAACTCTTATTACAAAATCAGTTTAATCAACCTACTCCAGAGCTTGAGAAAACGACAAAAGGATAAGATAAGGATGATGGTTTAAATATATCTGGAGCTTAAAAAACCAAATGGTCAATGCTTGAATGGTTCATTAGGAGTAAACATACAAGGGTAGGCTTTTTAAACTAATTTGGCAAAATCCTAGTGCTTATTTTTGTGGTAAGCATTTACAAGAGCACAAATATGTCCTAACTCAGAACATTCAAGATTAATCCATACTAGATATGATATACTTCTCACATAATAATGTTGAGCATTCAAATACACTAACTCCATTTGCTTAGAAGGTCTCAAATCACTCAATTTAAAATTGAATCCAAATCTGCAAAAAAATAATCACTAATCTACCTACCCGGAGGAAACCCTTTTACAATGTGTAGGTAACTAGACAAAACTGGCTTGTCATTTGTCAGCTTAAAAAAAAGAGAAGAGAGAAATAGACGACCACCATGTTTAGTAGTCTTAAATGTTTTGTGTTCTGTTGTTCTGCTTTCCTCGGTCGTAGATGAGGAAATTGCTGCAAAAATTGAGATGGAATGGTGATTGAAAGAACTCAAAAGTTTTAACGAGCGGCAAAAGATGCATACATTCTTTCCCTTTTACGAACCTCCTTTTTTTTGTTGTCAGTTTAAAAAAAAAGGGAAACAAATGACCAACCATTTTTACTACTTTTAAATGTTTTGTGTTATCCTGTTCTGTTTTCCTCTATCGTGGATGACGATGAAATTGCTGCAAAAATTATGATGGAGTAGTGATTGAAAGACCTGAAAAGTTTTAACGGGCAGCAAAAGGTGCATACATCCTGCCCACTTTAGGAACCTTATTTGAATGGCCTTGAATACCATGACCTGTCCCTTTTTTTTTGAAGTAAATTTTTGACAGAAATCCGCATGGACAGAGCTGTCGCATCCCACCTACTCTATCAATTTGGTCAACAAGAAAAAAAAAAGATTGAGAAATAGAAAGTACTATTGTAAGATATTAGTAGTAGCCTCTCATGGATGAATTGTTGGAGTATAATCATTATCATTATTAAATCCGTCCTATATTAACTATTAAAGCTCTACTGCATCCACTAAAATTTAATGTCATTTCATAATATCTTTCCTTTTCATTGAATACACAAATGCAGATCGATATACAATATTAAAACAACCGTCAAGCCTCTTGAAGCAAAATTAATCTTATAATAATCGAACTAATCGATACACAAAAAAGAGAATGAGAGAGGTTTATTGATAGAAGTATTAGATGATGGCAGGAGGCAATATTTTTTTTTTAATAAAAATGATTAATTAAAGAATACAAAGAGATGATTCATAACATCAACTTTTTTGTTATAGTATTCCAATCATCAACATCAACATTTAGAATTACACCATATATGAGTAGTACACAACAACGAGAGATTCATGTTTTCCATGCTTCACTTCTCAACCTATAATTCTTAGCAACATGACAATTGAAATGTTTGACACTACAAGAAAGCAATTCATTAACCACGGAATTATACATGTCATGCTTAACCGTGGATAAATAAACACAACTTACACACGAATTATCCATGAGAAATACATTAAAATTTTTACCCACAAAATAAACGCGGAATATCCACGACATTACACACGGACATTTGTGGACGTAGTTAATCCGTAGATAAGGAAGTGCTTATCCACGAATTACCATGAAATCTTCCTTAGATAATATTTTCGTGGGTAAGTTCGTGGTTAATGAACATATTAACTACAGATTTTCGACGAAAATATTATCCACAAAATATTCTGTGTATAATTTGTTGTTAATTAAATTTCAATCCACAGTACTTAAATTTGAAACTCTATAATGACCCCTTTTCCATTAAAAACCTAACATCCTCACATTTACAGAGTGACACCCTTAAACCTTTTTAAATATATTGACCAGAAACTACTTTAAATATTTTGAATCACATCTTCAATGATTAATTTCTCTTTCAACTAATGGTAATAGGATGATTATTTAATACTGTGATAATAAACAGTCTTTAAATTTTTATTTAAAATATATAATTATTGGTTATTTTTCATAGTGATGTAATTAGTGAACATTGGGAACTATAATTACTTATGAATGTGTGAAAATCAGAGTATTTTACATTTTAGTGTATACATTTGAAATAAAATAATGTCAACTCTCAGCTAAACTAAAATATTTTGATGGTAATATTGTTAGAAATATTAAAAGTCCAAATGGATTTCATATTACTTGGGATGAGAACAAAAATTATGAATAATATGTCAATCATATATAAATGTAATTGTTACTATTTAATTGATCATTCTCAATATAATTAATTACATCGTTTAACGCCATACACAATTTTTACCTCAGCTAAATAGAATCAATTAATTACTTTCATAGCTAGCTTTATAATTTTGGAAAATAAATAAATAAATACAGTAGAACTTCTATAAATTAATAGTGTTGGGACCACCAAAATTTATTAATTTAACGAATTATTAAATAATCCATAATTAATAAATTATTAATTTAAAGAATTTGTGTGAGAAAAAAAAACCTCCCGAAATTACTTAATTTGCAGTTATTTTTATATCCGAATCAATCAAGTATTAAAAATATTCTGAACACTAAAAATCCATACATAGTTCATATCATCTCTAGGGACTAAAAATAAGTATTAACGGTTCATATTTTACTAAATATTACAATAATTATTATTATTTTTTATTTTTAAGGTATTTATTAATTTATGTTATTATTGGGACCTATAGATATGTAGGTGATTTTCTGAAATATTATTATTTTATTATTTTATCGATTAATTTATAGATTATTAATTTACCGATGTTCTACTGTAATTTATTCTTAAAATATATGAAATCATTATGGATAAATGACTTATTTCTAGGAGGGATTTTTTTCCCTCTAGTTCAAATAAGGAAAGAATGAAAAAA